TATAAGATATTTTGAAAATTAAATAAATATATTAGAGAATATTTTTCTCTTTAAACAGTATAAGAAACAGACCGAGGTTATGTTGATGAAAACCATGTTCACAATATGTTTATCCTTTAAGAAACAATTATCATTGCAAAGCTTTTGAGTATAATTCTTATATGTTGATATGGATGTTGAAATAAAATTTTATATATAGAATAAAAAGTTGGGAAATATGTTATTATGTATATGTAAGTAGGTGTATATTGAGAAAATGATATGTACATAGTCATTGGAAATGTTATTAAGTCATAACAAAATGTTAACTTAAGAGTATTATGATATCAAATAAATAAACCAACGACCATCTATTATCTATTTGTATCGATATTCATGTATAGCCCATATTGATATATCTATATATATCGATTTGTCCGTACTAACTACAAGATGTCCCTAGCACGTTGTGTAATGTATAGTATTTATAATTGTTAATATTGGTCGATTAATTAAGGAAAAATATCAACTTCATTTGTTTTAAAGTTGAAACATTTACTTCAAGAATGTCCCAAAATGTTATATTAGTACATTGATGTAGAGCACATTTCCTATAGCGGAACGCATATTTGACATCTTCACCAATTATTCAATTTTTACAGGTTAATGTATTCATAGATGAGTGCATTAAATTCTACATACCAGAAAACATCTATGAGCTACTAAAACAGAATTATTATCTAACCCTGTATTAACTGCCTCAACGCGTAGTTGATTTTTAGCTGGTTTACGTTTTTAAGATAAATCATAAAAGCAATAAAATGATTATTATGCAATTACGCATTCGCTTTTGCGCAAACAGGTCTCACCACAAACCATAAAATGTTAAGGAGTTCAAGCTCCCGTACATCGTATGATGCCGTCCTATAAACGAAATGCCAAACATTATTGCTATACGCCGCTAGGACAAAATCCATGTTCATTATAATATCATATGATGAAATCAAAATTGTACAAATTTAGGTTTTGTAATCACTGACAGGGTTTCATAATGCAAACGTAGGGATATGTGTCTTGGACTGATTTTGTGACTGAATTTTTACTTTACATCGTATAAATATATTTTACAAAATACCTACAAGTGCCCCTTTCATTACAACTTATGAACTAGATACAGTAGAGCCCAGTAATTAATTAACAAATACATCACACTGTTCTTTTGTCCTTTTTGTCCCTCGTCAGTGGTGTTAATGACCTAGACTGCATTTGGGTCGACTTAGGAAAATCGAATTCTGTGGAAATGGTTGTTAAAATATGGCATATTTAAAATATAAAGGTACGTCACCTGCATCAACACAGTATTTATATAAAAGGACATGGGGGAATTATGGACATATCACATGTAAAAGCGTTCAATCATGTATTACTAGAAGATCATTAAAAGAGGAGGGGTGGCTGGTGCCATATATATCCCATCTAGTGACACCTGTCATGACACACGTAGTCACAGGGAACAACTGATATAGGAACACCACTAAAACGTACATGTCTTATTCCCTCCTCGAAATTCGAAGGGTTACGATCAGTAACGATATCTGATACAGGCGAACCTGTCCTATGACCTTGCCGTGAACTCAGTTTTATAGTCACAATATGACATACATGCCAAAATATCTGCTTGTTTTATCTAATCTGTAGCTCGAAACGTATATATATATATATATAAACGTACTTATATACATATGGTACTTATATATATCATCCTATATATTATGTGTTATAGTTCGTCAAGGTTAAAGCCTGATATTATTTATATAAAAAACGACATATTGATATTAGTTCTATATATTTTCATTATACAGTTAGGTTTTCGCGATTAAGGAGTGGATTTCTTTGTTTACCATTAAATGATCCAAGATCAAATACTTGGTCATAGACACTACATTACATATATGATATCTCAATCTATAACCACATGTTATTTTATTTACCACAAAATTCCTACGTGTATCATTCCTTTTACTTTCTACATAGTTTGTGGTTGTAACGATGACAAAATATATAACCGCAAACATGTTAGAATCGTTATCATCAGACTATTGTCTGTCAGTTTAAGGACATTAACATATCAACATACCCAAGGAGACGATACAGTATTACAAAACAAGGACATAAAACACTTGACTAGTAACAGTGTGTACAATCGTAACAAATGAAATAAGCTTGTAAGAGTGTGCCTTATAAAATAATCTAGTAACACTGTGTACCATCGTGTATATTAAGATAAGCTAATGACAGTGTGTACCATCGTTTATTATAAAATAATCTAGTAACACTGTGTACCATTATTTATAATAAAATAAACTAGTAACAGTGTGTACAATCGTTTATAATAAAATAAGTACTTTACAGTGGGTAACATATTATTTGCATAAAGTAAACTAATCATATCGTATACCATTCTTTTACATAAGACTGGCAAGTATGAATTTACTTTTAACCGTTTCCTTATACAAAATGAATTTGTCTATTAATTATATTCTACATGTGTCAAAAATCAAGCATTGTTAAGAAACAGAATGAGCAAAAATGTTATTCGTTTTTTTAATATCTGTAATTAGTATCAGCAGATGCAAGATATATTGGTAAGATCATCAAATGAACTAGTGCCCTAAAGATATCACAATTTTGAAGGAAAAATCAAAGAAGGTAGATTTCCTTATATTTCTAATTTTTAAAATATTGTCAACAGTATATTTTATAATTTAAGTAATACAAGCTAAAGTTTTTATATCAAATGGGTATAATTTTAAAGGATATCATCAATGTTCAAGTTATCAAAATATATTAAATTAAGAAAACGGTGTCTTTCCAACAAATAGAAATAAAATCATATTCAATGTACTTATACGAGTGTCCCAATTTATTACAAAAGTTTTACAATAAGCTTTTTTTTCGAGATAATAACAGGTTTATGTTTTCGTTTATATTAAACAGTATCATTCTAATAAAAGAAGATATTTATGTTACAATCGTCCAAAATACTCATAAATGTCTTGGGTTTTTTTTATTTGAAAAAGTAACATAAAATCTTCCCTTGTAAACAGCGGTCGTATTCTGAATTTATCAGTATTAGTGAAACCACATAAAATATTCATAAGTCTGCTACTCAGACAGATTAGTATAATCACTCCAATCTCCCATATACTCTGGCGTAATGTCTAAACTGGTACGTACAATGACCATGCCTATTTTTACACGATACAGCCCGGTATAAGTCAATATCACTCAGGGACACACTTTGAATGTGGTTCATGTATGAGAGACATCTCCGATATCCACACTTCGTTTCAGTATGCACTTTATCCCTGTGTCTAGACGGTGCAGCCATCATGCACATAAGAACGAACGTGAATTGTATGGCGAGCCCACTATACTGATATAACACTCCATGTCGACTCCACACAAACACACTGGTCTGCACTGGGTGTGCACATTGTGCAGACAACCAGGTCATATAATATATATCCACGAGTACAAACAGCATTCGATGTATTATCGACATCCATAAATCCCAATGGCAACTCAACTCCAGTCTAATCATTAATTAAACACGACAAATTTACGATACTATATCCATATTTTTTGTTAAGATTTTCTTCCCGTACTTGACCTTGCTTACGATTAGCTCTCACAATTTGCATTAGTGCATCAGCAGAAGCGTTTGTGTACACCTCACCAGAAATTGTGCATTGGATATGCAGCAGATTGTGCAGTGTGCAGACTGCGGTGCAGAAAGACATTGCGTAACTGTGACCAGTGATCGTAGGGAGGATGTTTTCTATGTGATTAAGTGGTTGTATTCGTAAAGGATTTTTACTACACGACTACGTCTGTAGCGGGTAGGTGTGAAAGGTGACAGTGAGCAATATGGGGTATAGATATAATTTGGTTCATCATAAATTATGCTTATCTCCAGCTAAACAACAACGACATTGGAATTAGACAAGTCATTGTACAGCGTATATTAGTGGAGCAATGTCACGCTTGATCGCGCCGTTGTGTATACGTCTTTACGAATATCCGACGTGTCAGGACGACTCTGTGTGGTGTGTCTTAGGCAGGTGAAGGGGAAAGTCGCTTACTTAGCGTTATGACATGCAAAAGTATAATGTCTGTAAAATTGATCATCAGTTTTGCAGACGACATAGTTGTATCCAGACAGTGGCCACGTGATCAGGTCGTCTGAGTCCTATTTTTATCGTGATAACATGAAGAATTCGTTCACTTCATACGATATCAATCCTTTTTTTTTAATTTTCGTATATTAGTCTTAGTAAGGAAAGTGTGTCCAGTTAGTCACTTAAATATGAAATATTCGAAGAAAAGAATATTGTAATGCCGAAAGGGATGCTACAGTAAGTGTTAAGCTGTCAGACATTAATTAATAGATAAAACACAGGAGACTTATGGACGGTATAAACTGTTGATATTGGCAGGCTTCTTGCAAATCAATCATCATATACAACAAAAGGCTAAAGGGATATTGTTTTAAGATTGGACTCGTTTGATTTTTATTTTGTCATTGTTGATAAGGTCAAATTATTCCTCTGACGTCGACAAGAAGAAAGGTTCAAACAACAGCCAATCACAATGCGTAATACATAATAAATTAGGCGTGTTCTTCGTTCTGTTAGACTTTATAAATTTATGCTAAAATCTGATCACCAAATACACGTGTATTTTCTAACTATTGCAATTATTTTTACGCACTACACGATAATGTCCCAACCCTTCAAATCTACGAAATAAAGACTTCGGGCCTTATATGTTCAGATTTGTCTTGCGCTGATTTTGTAAAGACAGAACCTATATATATAAATAAGCTTGTATATATCGAGTAGACACGGTATGATGGTAATGCCATATAATGATGGCAGGATGCCGGTACGCGTTTTCCAAAAAATACGATGCTCTTGAGATTTAAGAGGAATTGCCACAAGAAAAAAACAATGCCTTACCTTATGTTTGCTCGAATTCTGTCTTGTGTCCTCCTCTGGTCCTTGGTCCTGTAAAGCTTCGTCTGCCTCTAGCATTAGAAGATCTTCTCCTCGTTCTAGCCGAACCACTACTGTGGTAATATGCCTAGCTTCACGAGCTGGGCGCGCGCGCCAAGCGCGAGGACTTCGTCTTGTCTGGGGTGCCTTTCGTATCGAACCCTGCACAGCTTCCATTCACATTCACCTTTGACCTCGAATAACTCAAAATCGCCCTCAAGGCCATTTAGTTACTGCAATTTTCAAACAAAGATGAAAATATTGTAAAATGTCGTAAGACGATTTTTAAAAAAAATAAACATAGTACATCTAATTAAGACAGAATTTCAGATTATTTTTGTCATTCTTTTAAATTGTAAAAAAACCTATATATACACACACACCCTCCCTCGCCCACACGCACACATACACAATTAAATCAGTAGATTTTATGCATGTTTATTTCGTGTCCTTTATGATAGTTTATAAAAAAATGTCTTTTCATTACGAAGAACATAGACATGATTGTAGAATTTGATTAATATTTAGTTATATGTCCAGAAAGTGGATCAAGTAAATGTTTCAAAGTGCTTCTGTTTTTTCATATATATAATTTAACGTAATGCAGTTTGATCGAAAGTGTTATAGAATATACTTCCACGCTATTTCTCTGTGATTATTCATTTAACCAGTATAAAAATCAACAAAACAAATTTAGTAAGTAAGAGATATTGAATTCACAGTAAAATGTTGTAATCACACTTTAATTCAGAGCCTATTTTTCTTCTTTTTGACAAAATAAGTATAAATAGCGTTTTTGTACAGATCACTTGAAAACAAAATGACATGCACGTCTTTATTTCAGTCATATTTTCCACATAACACATTTACGTAAGAGCACGAAACTACCTAAGGAGGAGCAAGTATGACAAGAGCAACACTAAAATATTAGCAATGCTGTAGTATTGAGAATTGTACACATACACACATAATTTACTTATAAATAAATAAGTTAATCAATTTATATGGAAAAATGGCGCGAACTATCAGCTTATATATTTTATTTTATGTCAATACAATAGCATTTGATCGAAAAGTCATTTGGATCAAGTAACAGGTCTATGTAACATTTCTGTGGTTTCTTTTTGTCTGATAAGTTGGTTATGATTTCATGTACTGAGATATTACCACGGTCATAGGGACACTCAACAAAGAAAAACAAAATTTTAGATAAATCGCGTTTTCATATGTCTTATAAATACAAAATGAATTAAATATAACAGACGAAATGAATTAAATATAACAGACGAAATGAATTAAAATCATCATAACAATAATGCTGTTGTTTTTAATAAAGTATTTGAGATTTGTTCAAAAAATCAAAGAATGTTAATATGTTGTGTTTTTTGTACCTGAAATGAGTTATAATCGTAAAATGTTTAACTGTAATAAAGAATTGTTTGTGTACCAGATTTGAAATAAATATTCTGTATACAATTAGGGGGATAGGTTACTTCTAATCAATTAGCATTTCAGAATGTATACACTTTATGATAATTATACAATCACCCGTGAACAACTGAAAAATCCATATAGTTTGAATCTGATTGTCTTGATAGCAAATGTATGGTAAAGTAATTTTTTCACAGAATGTGATGTTACACATTTTGATAAAAATCTTATAAATAGAAATATTTCAACAAATATATATACCTGTTGAATTCCATTTAGTCTGATAAGTTACAAAAAGGCCGAAGTTACATACATTAACAAATACCACATTTGATACATGATAATTTCTGCTAGAAATATACCTCTGCATACAATAATTATATACATTAGTATTTATACTGGCATACAAAGTGTGGATGATTCAAGTCTTTACAAACTTCTGACTTAGGGATGTATGAGAACTGAATGTTATCACATTATAACCAATATATTTAGATACTGGATCATAATGTTTGAAAGGTAGATAAATCTAAACAGATATTTCTATTTAATAACATTGGAAATGACGCCTCTTTACTCCGCGAATATTTGCTCGTTTCCACACAGTCTTCCTGTGCCTTTGCTTCCATAACTGAAGATTTATTCAGTAAAAGAATGTTCAACTAAAATAATTGAAACCTGGACATCACCTAATTTATGTGTAATATAATTTCTAAATACGATGTATTAAATTTATTAATCAATTACCTTCAGTGTACTGCACGTTCTAGTAAAGGGAAAATGTAATCACGATCGTCACATGAATTTGATATATCTCCTTAAAATAGGAGTCACAAACATGTTCAAGAGATTATAACACGGAGAAAAAGGATAGTGGTTGTCGGCTTTGAATCCTGGGGAATTTGGATGTGTTTGGATATGTTAATAAGATGGATCTACAGAAATAAGTGATTTCAGCATGTGTTAGAGTTACTATCTTTACATACTGGTATATATATTACTGATAAAGTAACCAAAACACGCATCTATATGCACATATACAGATATACACAAATAGTGAGTACAAATACCCAATACATTAAGACAGAAATAACATGCATGTTTATGCTAAAATATGTTCAGTTCTAAGAATATGATTACAAGTACACGGACTCATCAATATTTTTAGTCAATTCATCATATGCATGTCAGTCGTATGTACAGTTCTGTTAGAAATCAGTGCAAGATTTAATCAATGTGTTACAGATGAATGATGGTATAGTCGTTGTATATTTTTTGTTGTGTGGTCTCAGCAATACAGAGGTCACAATGTGATTCGTGCTGAAACAAATCTTATGTATCTGCTGCATGCTCCTACACACTATCTTAGTGTAATACAGTGTACATAATATGATAGCATGTCGGTATCATGGGGGCAATTATAAGACAAACAATTATGTTAACATTTATTTATAATTTTACCTGTTGGAAGACCGTGCTAATTCAGATAAAATATAGTCTGCATGTCATTAGCTTATATGTTGTAAAATAAAAACAAATACACCCATGTCAACAACTAAATGGATGTAGCGTTTTGTATATTTAAAATTTCAAAACGTAGTGCTTTTGTTTGTAGGAAAGTCGTTTAAGTTCTATTATGATATGTCTCAGTGAACGTCAAACTGTCAGCATTTCTCTAATGACAGAACTGACTATCAAAATGTTAATTCTTCTCAATATATTGTTGTTCTTAAAAAATGTACTGATTCATTCGAAACGTTTTAAAAATATCACGATTCAGTACGTTTAATCAGCCTAGTTTTCTTTTCTAATTTCATCTTTTATCTTTTCTGATCTCATAAACGAGGACATAACGCTTTCTTGTAGTGAAAGATACGTTTCCTTGTTTTTTTTTAATATATATATTTATTAGAGTTGATCCTGATGTCTATACTTTCTATTGATGAAAAATACGAGACTACCCTGCTTGCCAATCATCTGACCAGATTTAAGTAATCACTTTGGAATTTCATGGGTCATTAATGTCATTTCGACTGCTACACATAAAACTGAACTACTTGAGCTTTCAGGAGAGAGAGAGGGGGAGTATTGTTATAATGATAAGTTGAAGCAGTACTTTATACTGTTGTTCTTGTCTTTATCTCATGCATACAATATTTTCATTATAAATATATCTGTTTACGAGTGATGTAAGTAAATCTCAGTAATATCAGTGATAAAATGACGTACTTAGGCTATGCCCTAACCATATGTGTAAAATATAAAATCTATTTAGATATTTTATCTGAGTTAGAAAAGAGAAAAATGCAACTATTGTACAACATTATTAGGACATTATCAATGTTTGATGCTTATTCTAAATCATCTATACATTTAAACTTATAATAAAGGTCATTCTCTCTCTAAAAGAAAAAGTGAAGCACCTTGGTCATGGAATTCCGAAAACAATACAAAATTTGTTCATATACTTTTTCATTTTCTTATAATAATTATCCTCTTAGAAATATATATTAAATGTAAATTTGGCCTGATTAAATCAATCGGACCAACAGAACATGATGACATAAAAAGTAAAAACGGGATATGTTTTGTCAAATATATGTAAACCCATGGTAATATAAGTGATTAGTTGTTTTCCCCAATTTCCCAGTTTCTTCCAGTTTTGTTGGATGACACAACGTGATATGTTATTGTACTATACAAAATGCTACTTAAAGTATTGATTATAATAAAGTTAATCACCGTTTAAGAGTAAACTTTATCGTTAACAATGTTTCTTCGAATATATTTTTTGTTTTCTATTTTAGTATAGTACCAAGTCACATGTGATGGAATAACAAACTTAAGAAGTTTACGACATAGCATACATACAGTATAATATGCTACTTTCAATGTTAGTATACATCTTGATATTGATACAAAGGTTGAATAGCTTTGAACACCACGATCTAAATTGATATTTTGCATACGTGAGTGCGATATTATAACAGGAAAAGGAGAGGAGAACAAGGTTTATTTAAGGTTTTATATACATAAAAAATCATTTTTTAAATTAGGGTAGACATAAAAATATTTTTGTATAGTGATGTCAGTCTTAAAACCTTAAATACCTTTGATTAAATTCATCCAATCTGCAGTTTAATTTAGAAGTTAAAAATGCATATTTTGACTCCAAGGTTCAATAATTACTTCATATAATTATTTGGCTGTCAGTCACTTTCTTCCCTCCTTGTGTTCCTTCTATTAGATCACTGTCATAAATGATGATTCATAATCTTACTTGATATCAATTGTAGCGTCAAAATCTTTAAATCAATTGTAACGTCAAAATATCATATTGAAAGTGTCGCTATGAACTTACCAGTCTTATCAAGTATGTTATATATATAAAGCCGAGTCGAGAAACATTCCTGAATGATGACAATTTGCTTGCGTCTAGAATGTGTTGTCTTATAAACTTCTGAGCGTTTAAATTAAAATTGTTGGTTTAATTACACAAATTAATTTACGTTACGCCTGTTTCCGAACCTGATCTATGACAATAAGATGAAAATTATTCAACTTGCTCTAAGACATGTGCAGATACTCGAGCAGTATATAGACTGTTGCGCTATACTCAACCAAGCTGCTATCATTCTGCGCAATATTGCAAAAATTAAAAAAAAGAATGTCTATCTGTACGGATGTTACTTTTCCATTAGTTCATCTGTATTTGCCGATTCGGTGAGAACTGCACGCATTATTTCTATCCCTTATGATCTATATATACCACATTTTACAAAGATTTAAAATTATAAATGGA